CGACCGCGGTCGCTCAACGCTAGACAGCTAGGGGTACTCTGGCCTAAAACATCTTAGGAGCTTGCATGAACGCCTCACCTGGCATGATTCGTCGTCGAGACCGAGACAAAAACTCGCAGAACAACGTCCTATACGAATTCAGTGTGTGTTTAATTAACCGCGCGTGGTAACAATACATTGTTAGTATAGTCGGGGCAGAGTTATTGTGGAAAGTGTAAGGGCACACCAGTGCCGAATCGCTGAGCAGCGTGTGTGTGAAGAGAGAGACGAGGAAGTAAGGAGGAGGTAGAAAACAAGTACTCAACGTAATTCACTTTCATAGCTGTATTCTAGAGATTAGTCACGCTAAAAAAGGTGGAATATCATGTTTTTATCAGGAAATTTAGAAGAAATGTAAAAACTGTATATATCCCTTTGAAGGATTCTAGGCACTGTAACTTGTGATGTGCGGCAGCATTGATAGATCTATGCCATGGGGCTAACCGTGACCTGGGAAGAAGAGAAAAACGAAAGTAAGATACCTTACCCAGAAGCCCCCCGACATCCTAGAGATCGAAACCAATTAAATTGTGACCAAAACTCTGAAATTAGAATTCACATCAAGAGTTGAAATGAGACACTATGTTGTCTTCTTAACCTTTCGAGTTAATAAAGCGTATGGCTGTTTTACATTCAATGGTTATATCTTTATATACTAGATGTTCACGCTGCACTGCTAATGCGAAATAGAGCTGACGCGATCAATTTTTTTGTGCAGTCCCACGGCAACTGTTCTGAAGTTGGTGAGCGTCCATGCTGTCTTCATCGTAGATTGGTTCAGAGTGTAAGAATATCTGCAACGAACCCTCTTGCGGTTCTCCACTGGGCTCGACACAAACCCGCTATTGCCCAGATGCCCGCGGCCAATCACAATCACCAAAAAAATTCGCTATATTATACTCCGACAGGGACCGGTATGTCCCTTGAAATTCGCACGTTCCCGACAGTTCGGTTCAAGCGCCTATAGTTCTGATTTGAATTTGATAACTAGTGAAACCTAAGAGACCATGAACGGAAAAATTTGAATTAAAATATAAATGCCTAAAATGCAGTAATGACGATGCGACTCATCTAGTGCGCACTGCAGTTACATACTTCTCTAATGATCAGACGATCTGCATCACCAGCAATCAGATCATAGCGAACACCGATCGAGCGGATATAAACTACTGAAGCCACACGGCGCATCGACGTGCACTTTGTGTTCACTTTTTGTTTTATCGCCGCAGAGGCCCGATTCGCTAACAAGTCGATGATCATCAACGCGTCAATCTTCTTTGTGAAATTCTGAAAAAATTTTCTGAAAGTACCGTAAATCGTCAACTAAGTACCACGAGTGACGTCACGTGACTGTTCTTCCCACTCGAGCACTCCGCCCGGTAGTGATACGAAGGTGAAAGAATCGGTTTCCCCTGCGTGGCAGCAGTCTGTGGTCCTCTCCTCTCTTATCGCTCTGCTCCTTTCTCACAATTTTCTGCTTCTGTGTGTCCTCAGCGTCCCATCTCTGTCTCGGCTGTAGTGTCGTCTCTCGCTCCTATCTAGGAATCAATTTGTGACCTCTCGTCGATTTCGCCCAAAGCATAATGCTTGACTTTTCGTTTGGGAAATCACCTCTTACGATAATGTAGACACTAATTTCTGCGTCTCTGAGTACATTTAATGTAGAGTCACGTTCATCATCAAATAATCTATGGAAAAATTTTAACAAAGATATATGCTATGAAAAAGTTCCAGCTCTGGGCCAAAGCTAAAGTGTCTGACGTCCACAAATTTCCGTGAAATTCTAAAACTAGTTGATTTCGACCTTTATTTTTTGTAATTTTTTTCTACATCAAAAGTTTAGAACTCCAAACGTTACTTAGTATATATGAGTATCTATCAACGGTCTCCACCCTGATAATACTACATGTTGTTACGTTGCGGTACACATTTTTGCTCACAAAAATACTTGACGATTGTACATTAACGTTCACGATTCGGTCAAACTCACCTTATTAACACATACTCGCGTCACTGTGGTCAGCGTTGCTGCACTGGTTGTGCGTGGTCGATGTCATCGTGATTTGTGTAATGGTGCCAACAAAGTGGTGCCCAAACAGTTATCTGTTTTTGATTTGTCTATTGGCCTATATTGACGATCACACACAATATAGGAAAAAGAGGAAATAATAGTAATTGTTCATCGATGTAATTATGTTTTGTGAAAAAATTATTATTAGAAGGACGCGAAACCGATATTGCTTGTGTTTTTTTAAATTCTTCTGCCAACACAAAATGTTTGTGACAATCGCCCTCAGGATCGAGTCAGTCAGATGCTTTCTACGATACAACTAAATCACTATGTCATCAACAATCAGATCTTCTACTAGTCTCCCTGTTTCTCATTCTCCCTCGCCAACTGCGCTTTGCTATCTCGTTTCGCGGCGCCTCATCGGCTTTCTCTCTCACTGGTCCGCTTCCCCTCGCTTTCATCTCTCCCTCCCCCTCCTCTCTCCTCTTCTCTCAGTCAGTCCTTCTCTCTCTCTCCGGGTCGTCTCTCTCCGTCCTCTTAGCCATTTCTCTGACTTTCTTCTCTCTCTCCTCTCCTCCATCTATCTCTCTCTCTCGATCTCTCCTCTCATCCTCCTCTCTCACATCTTGAACTAGTGTCAGCCCGTCTGTCTCTCCTCTCCTCTCATCCTCTCTCTCGCTCCCCCTTCTTCTCGCCTTTATCGCTCGCCACTCTTCTCTCTCGCTGTTTCTAGATTGCTTTTATCTCTGCTATTTGCTGCGGCGGATTTCTTCCTGCGGTTCACAAGTGTGTGTTGAATAACGGAGGTCTTTTCACGGATACTAAAGTAGAGTTTTTAATACCAAGAAACCATATCACTTTATTCAAGCAACGCTCACTGGCACATTTCATAACATCCCTACTCCAGCGCACTCACACGCAAAAATACAAAAGCATCAGACCTATAATTACGGTCGAGTAAGGAAAACATTGTGTAAGAGTGTCATATATATATATATATATATACAAGTAAAGTGTTGAAGACTTATCATAGTACCTTACAGTGCATTATATTTTTAACGTAGTAATAATATCATCGATAAGTGATTATAATAACTATTTAAATTTAAAAAATCTTAAAATTTTTAAATACAATATTAACAGTGTTAGAATCCTAACACTAACATGATACGCGTATATTATTAGATAACATTGTCTGATTTAATATCGAGAATTGACACATCATAAACGTATAACCTTATGAATTATTTAAGGTGTAGGTCATGCGTTCAAAATTTTAGGCGAAAAAATCTACTCTACTTCAAAGAATTTGAAAGGTTACAACTCATCTCTCGTACAACTCTTTTTCTATTCCCTAGAGGGCGTAAAGTGTCCTACGTGGTAGCAGGCTAGACCACGTCAACGAAACACGGCAGGCAAGACTGCCACATCTCACAACCCCCCTAGCCCCTTCCTTTCCCTCCTACGTCTCACAACCCTCTAGCTCCTCCCTTAGCTGCCACATCTCACAACCCCCCATAGTCCCTTCCTTTCCCTCCTACGCCTCACAACCCTCTAGCTCCTCCTTTAGCTACCAAATCTCACAACCTCCCTAGCCCCTTCCTTTCCCTCCTACGTCTTCCAACCCTCCACCCCTCTCCCCCCGAGCATGGTCGGTCGGTCCGGACATTCTAGTGAGAAATCTCTCGCGAGGGGCATTCATGCGAGAAAATAACGGAGAAGCGTTATTCTCCCAGCGGTCCGCCACGGGCAGCGCATGCAGCACTGCTCTACCGTCCACAACCCCCATATATATATATATATATACATACATACATAATATCTCCTCTCCCCTTCCCGCCTCGCCTCCCTTCTTTCCCTTCCTCTCCTCCTTCCTCCTCCATGATCTCCTTCTTGCTACCTCCTTCGTTAGCGTATTCTCTCCTTCAACCGCTTCCTTCTCTCCCCATCTCTGCTCGTCCATATCCGCTCGTATACCTTACCCTCATTCTGCTTCCCTCCTCATATCTCCTCCTTTCGACTGTATTTTCTCATATTATGTTCTCGACTCCACGCTCCGTTTTCCCCTCCTATCCTCTTTTATCTTCTGTCAACTCTCCTCACCTCTCCTCTCTTCTGGACTATCTCGTCTCCTTCAATCTCCATTCTCTCCTTCTCGCCTCCCCGTTTGGCCACCCATACCCTTTTCCCCTTACCATACCTCTCCCCCTTTCTACCCTCCTCTCCTCCTCCTACACCTTCCAGTGCTCTCTATTCCTACCCACACTAAGACTA